CATATTCCTATGCCTATGGTAGCAGAATATATCGCGAAAACAGCTATTATCACTCCTTTCGGTTTGTTTGAATTCCTGAGCATGCCATTTGGTCTTCGGAATGCAGCACAAACATTCCAACGCTTCATGGATGATGTCTTCCGTGGTTTGAATTTTGTTCATGTCTACATCGATGACTGTCTAATTGCGAGTCCAGATAAAGAAACTCACCTTATACATTTGGACCTCGCATTCGAAAGACTTAAAAAACATGGCATTACAGTCAACTTACAGAAGTGTGAAATAGGAGTTGAATCACTCAGCTTCCCCGAGCATACCACTGACAACAAATGTATACGCCCATTGAGAGATAAAGTGGCGACTATCATGAACTATCCAGGGCCGACCACTGTGAAACATCTCCTCACTTTCAATGGCCTGGTAAGTTATTACCGAAGGTTTATCCCCAACTGTGCCTCTGTCATCAGACCACTAACAAATCTACTTCAGGGGACTACGAAGTTCGTGACTCTGGACAACGTGGCTAGACTTGCTTTTTCTAAAGTCAAGGAAGCTATCACAAACTCAACCATGCTCATGCATCACAACCCCAATGCTCCTTTGAATATTGCTGTTGATGCATCTAACTCAGCAATTGGAGCAGTTTTGCAACAATTGACTGACAACCAGTGCCAACCATTAGCCTTTTTCTCGAGGCGGCTGCAAGACGTGGAAACAAGATACAGTACATTTGGTGGGGAACTCCTAGCTATGCACTGTTCTGCACGCCATTTTCGACATTCGGTGGAAGGTCGTGATTTCATTATTTTCACAGACCACAAACTGTTAATCTTTTCTCTTAGCTCGACGTCTGACAAATACTCCACGCGTGTGTCACGACAACTGGATTACAATTCCCAGTTCACGTCAGATATTCGCCAAATTTCGGGAGCAGATATCTCCGTAGCCAATGCAGTATCTCGAATAGCTTCGATAAACCATATCGAGAGCATTGATCTCGTTGAACTAGCTCGGTGTCAAAAAGAGGACCTTCAGCTGCATCATGAGTTGTCGTTATGGCAAGTTTTTCCCCACTCAAATCATCTGTGTCGTGTGCAAATCATTCGCAATGTGACCTCATGAAGATATCATAGAGGTTAATCGCAACATATGTGAAGACCTAACATACATATTGAATTTGTTCAGTCATTCGAAAAACCTCGCCTGGTTAACTAGTTCAGAATCTAATGGATGCACCTATCTTTTCACTTGTGTTGATCGTTTCACATGATGGCCGGAAGCAGTACCTATTAAGGATATTACTGCTGAAACAGTAGCTCATGTTTTCGTTGAAAGATGGATCGCGAACTTTGGATGTCCATCTTACGTCACAACCGACCGTGGGCGCCAATTCGAGTGTGGATTATTTCACGCTCTAACGGCACTTTTAGGTTGCACCCGGTTCCGAACGACAGCCTATCATCCGCAAGCAAATGGTATGGTAGAGCGTTTCCATCGACAGCTGAAAGATTCCCTTTCAGCTGCAAACATACCTCAGCGGACCGAGGGTCTGTCTCTAGTCCTACTAGGTATTCGTAACGCGTTGAAATTTGGTGCTGGATGCACCTCTGCAGAATTCGTCTATGGGGCAACTCTTCGCCTACCAGGTGAATTTGTTTCCCCTTCAACTTTCAAACATGTTTCTGACAGGGCATCGTACGTGACTAGGCTTACAAACGCAATGCGTTCAGTTAGGCCCTCTCAGGTTAGACCTCAAACGACTGATGTCTTCGTTCACCCCAGTTTACAAAAGACATCACACGTGTTTATTCGCCACGACGCCGTTCGTCGACCACTTGAACCACCCTGCGATGGGCCATTCAAAGTGATCAAGCGACTTGAGAAATTATATATAATCAAGCGAAACGGACGTGAAGATACTGTTAGTATCGAATGTTTGAAACCAGCTTATTTTGAAGGTAACCCCATCATAAGTGACGTTTCAGCTCGCTATAGCCGACCGACGCGATCAGATCGAACCGTCAGGTTCCTGGAGTATTTGAAGTCTCATTCAACAAAAAAAAAAAAAAAAAAAAAAAAAAAAAAAAAAAAAAAAAAAAAAAAATTTTTTTTCAGGGCACCATTTTTCTTATTTACCGGCAATGCGCAAATCCTCGTACATTTTGCCTTTTTATGTCAACTTTTTACTACCACGTAATGAAACATTTAAAAAAAAAAAAGGAAATAAGCGTCAACTTTAATTTCGATATATTTATACATGAATAATTCCTATTTTTACGAAGTGTTTTCGTGGTATTAAAGACTTTTATTTACATTCCAGATGCAGCGAGCACTGAACCGAACGTCAAAAGAAACTGAGGACTGCGATCCACGTACAATTCGATTTATTGTATTTTATTTTTTCTGTCACACAACACCCTAGAATAAGTTCAGACAACCAGGGGCCACTTCACTCAGTGACCCCATTGGAAGAGTTTTACAAGTGGAAAAACCACTAGGTTTTTACTTCCAGCTGGTATCTTCTTAAGGTCCCAACGAACCCACTAGGGGGGAATGATCTGTAGCGTCAAACGCTTCCTCAAAATCAATAGCCTACAGTTCAACGACATTCAACATTGATGCTGACCTTCACAGTTTAACTGGACTTGCTAAGCTGAAGGCACCTGGTCAAGCATCTTCGCCATTTGGCACAATGTCGTGTTACGTTGCAATGCTCGTAATCGACTCTCTAGCCAGTAAGTTGGAACGCATCGGTATCTTGGCACAGCCACTCAAATATACTATTCCATCCGACTACGCTATTGTGTTCTTCCTTGGTCTCGTATTCGTGGGTATATAACAAGTCTGAATAATTAGTGATTGGCCTTTGCGTCTGTCAAGTTCGCACAAGGACATATCCTAAAATGGCACCGAATCATTTATAAGCCGCCTCAAATAGAAAAATTTCCTTCTTATCAGCTTTTACATATTTAGTACATACTTCCTAATGCTTGTGAAAATGAATGTTTATCCGTACAACTTAACCTCGCCTGGTTAACTAGTTCACTAGTCACTAGCCAGTTCTAAGCTCGGGTAAAGACGGAAGGTTGGGCATGGGGCCAGCAACCCTACATCGTAAAACCAATCCAACCGCTAAACAAACTTCAAAGCACAAACAAAACATAAAAAATAAAAACAAAATTATTCCTCGTTGGAATCGGGTAACCGAAATGACGCCGGTTGGTGGAAGCCTTCGAGAAGCCGATTGGCCGATGTATCTTCCTTCAATGAAAGCGAAAGTAAGAATGGGGACATGGAATGTCCGCACGATGTATGAAGCTGCCTGGCAAGGCTATCCAGACCGTAAAAGAGATGAGCAGATATAGCATAGATGTGCTAGGAATCTGGGAAAGCAGATGAAATGGAAGTGAACTCTCCAAACTGTCAACTCGAGAGTCAATAATCTACTCCAGCATTGTCACCCAAACAAGAATCACGAGCATACTGAGTTTTCGAGTGGTTATCATGATGTCCCCAACAGCATCGAAGGCTCTCTCTCATCCAGTGGGAACCAATCTCCTCCAGGATCATGACAACAAGATTCAAATCAAAATGAAGGAAAGTCACAATCATACAATGCTACGCTACGCACCTACAAATAATGCAGATGAAGAGAAGAAGGAGGAATTCTACAGACAACTGCAATCAGTACTGAACAAGACCCCACCCCAGTTGGCGACATCAAAATTCTAATGGGTGTGGCGACATGAATGCCAAACTGGGAGCGGACAACACAGGAAGAGAACTAACCATGGGCCGAGAAGCGCTAGGTGAAATGAATGAGAATGGAGAATTGTTTGCAGAACTCTGTGCATTCAACGATTTGGTGATTGCAGTGAGGCAGTGTGTTCAAGCTCAAGGATATCCACAAAGCGACATGAATTTCACTAGATGGATACACTTCACTAGAAATCAGATCGACTTTATCTCAATCTGGAGAAAGTGGAGACGCAGCCTACTTGACACAAGGTCAAGGGGAGGAGCAGATGTAGGTCGACACCACTCACCATCTAGTGCAAGGAACGTTCTAAATCAAGTTGAAAGCCTTCAAGGAAGTTGGTGATAGAACACAGTTCAAGTAAAACACCCAGAACAGAAACTGAACTGAAGGATGAAACCACAAAGGAAATCTTCACGTCAGTCAGCCATCAAGACAAAATGGGAGATATCGAGGAACATCCCTGAAGAAACCTATGTGGAAGAACACTGGAAGTCTTTGAAAGAGATGTTGAAAGAAGAAGAAAGAAGATAAGGAATGGATCTCGATGGATACATGGAAGCTGACAGAGGAGAGGAGGATGGCGAAGCAGAAGATAAACCAGTGCAAGGATGCACAACGACAAGAGGAACTGAGTACAACCTATAAAATACTACACTGGAGAAAGAAGTGAAGAAGAGTGCGCGGAAAGACAAAAGACACTTCCACGACACACTGGCAAGTGAAGCAGAACAGGCTGCAGATAGGAGGACAGAGATCTGACAACATTGTATCAAACAACCAGGTTACTATCCAGGAAGGGAGAGATCAACTCCCGAAGGAGGGAGACCTAAGTCTTTGCAAGAACTGGCGCGGAATCATGCTCTACCACTGTCCACCCAGAGCAAGCAAAATATTAAGCCACATCATCCTGGAGAGACTAAAGGATGCACTGGATTCAAAACGACGACCGCAACAGGCTGGCTGGCTGGATTCAGGAAGTACAAATCATGTACGGAACAAATTGCAACGCCACGCTACGCATCATCATAGAACAAAATATAGAATGACAGTCAACCCTCTACCTCAACTTCATCGACTTTCAAAAGGCCTTTGATAGCGTCGTCCGAGAAGTAATCTGGCAACTGCTTCAACACTACGGAATACCACAAACATTTATCAGCTTCATTCAACAACTATATGAAGACGCCACATGCCGGCCAAGTAATTCAAAATGGGAAGCTCAGCTCAGTGATGCTTTTGAAGTGAAGACAGGAGTGAAACAAGGCTGTCTACTATCACCCATGATATTCCTGATTGTGGTCGACTGGACTGGATCATGCAACAAACAGTGGGGGGTGAGAAGAGGGGGATACGCTAGCTGGACTGCGGAAACGAACTTAGTAGACTTGGATTTCGCCGATGACTTGTGTCTGATGTCGCACAAACTGGAAGATCTGCAGACGAAAACTAACAAGTTGACAGAAGAGGCAGGGCAGCGAAGACGGGACTTCAAGTGAATATAGAGGAGACAGAGGTGATGAAGATACCCAACGAAGAACAACAGCAACAACCAGCTCAAATCATCATGAACGGGAGAAACTTAAGAGAAGTAGCCTGCTTCACCTATCTAGGCAGCACTGTTTCAACTACAGGCGGCACAGGCACAGACGAGGACGTCAAAGTCAGAATCGGAAAAGCAAGACAGGCATTCATTAGGCTGAAACCAGTGTGGAGATCTTCTGCACTCAGCATGAAGAGAGAACGAGATCTGGATTTTCAACACCAATGTCAAATCAGTGCTCCCATATGGTTCAGAGACTTGGCGCGTTACGAAGGGGATTTCCAACAAACTACAGACATTCATCAAAAAACTGCCTACGCTGGCTCATTACTGAAGCTCAGATGGCCAGAATAATAAGACTAAGCAACAAGGAACTCTGGCTGGCTGATGACGAACCAACCAAGAAGCTATCACTGAACAAACATGCAGTGGAAGGAAGTGGAGATTGATTGGGCATACACTGAGAAGGCCAACTGTGGACATCACGCGCCAGGCCAGGCACTCGAGTGGAACCTAGATGGGAAGCGACGAGTTGGGTGTCCGTGGTGAGGGTGACATGGAGGAGATGGTGCGAGGAGGAAATGAGAGGTTGTAGGCTGTCGTGGAGCCAGGTTCAAAAGATTTCAGAGAACAGAGAGCATCGGAGACGTGCTACTGAAGCCCTATGTTCCACTAGGAACCCAAGGGAAAAATAATAATAACATAATCTCTGATCTTCTGAAACTGTCTTAAATTTCTGCACGCTCTTTCAAATCTGTCAGCAAGCTTAGCTAGCCAAAATCCTGACATCTCTGACCATGGATGTGTGCTGTATTTGTGAGACATATACAGGACCCATGTACGGTTGTTCACTGAACATCACCCAGTCAATACGGTGAATTTGTGAAATCTGCTCTTTGAGTTTATAGAAATTTTTATGACTAGTTCTGACCGTCTTACAGGTGTAGGTATAGCATTGAGTCCTAAGGCAGTAAGGGCACTTCTCGAGTGGGTCAGAGTTGACAGTCGCCTATGCGCCGATCGAGTGAACGGTGACTGGAGGGCTAAAACGAGTTGTAAGACTCATCGTTGTCTCATTGTAATTTCTGGTTACGCACCTATAGACAATAACTCGGATGTAGTGTAGAAAGAATTTTACCGAAAACTGGCTAACCTCCTACTAAAAGTAAAGTATTCAGACGTGGTTGTTGTGGCTGGTGCAAATAAAGAATACAGCTGGAAGAACATTCCAAGTACAGCTCGATAGTGTGGATATTAACTCTGCTTTCAGCAGGGAATCGAGAAGATAGTTATCAGGACAGAACAACATCAGTCATCCAGAAGAAGCCTGATCCCATCTCCAGTCTTCACTAAAAACAGCGTTAAATACCGCAGCTGACTCAAAGAATTGAGAAAGAGACAGTGGGTCGCACCGGCTTCTGAATAATTGCATGTGCATGGATGCCATTCCTTCAGGCTCGGAGCACATTTAACTGCGGAAGCAACTGAAATGTATAGGGACAAAGAGTCTACACAATGACTGATTGGTGAAAACTGAAGGTATGGAAAAGGCAGTTTTTATAACTAACAGTAAACAGTTTAGATCTATCGAGTAAATGGATAGCAAAGTTCGTAGTTAGTAAGACACTAGGAGAGAGAGAGAGAGAGAGAGAGAGAGACAGATTTACGGTTAGGGAGACGGCTGGAACGATGGATGAAAGACTGAGAAACAATTCAACTGACCTCCATCTACTACTCTGTTGTCCAGTATCCAGTTGAGTCCTGGATGAAACACGGAGACTGGCGTTCCAGCTCTTGCATAAGTTAGCAAGGATGTAAGTAACCTGAAATGAGTGATGCCGACAGTGCCAGATGGACTAGTATCTAAAGTATTTAAGGACAGTGGTCGGGGATTATAGTTCAAGTGAACTGAATTGTTAGCTACGGGATGACATATCCTATCTGGCTGATCTCAATCACTGGTTCTCCCAGTCTTCAAGAAAGGCAAGAAGTCTTCCTGTGAAAACTATAGGGGAAGCTGTCTAATGAACATGGTGTTTAAGATCCTACGCTCTATGATTATTAGACACCCAGTCGAAGTCTGAGGACAGTAAACTTAAGAAAACCAGGCAGGTTTCGAACGAATTCGTGAGTGAGTCGACCAGGTGTTCAATCTTCCAGGTTCCGGAACACAGACACACCGCTGCGTGACACTAGCTCCATTGCTTGACCCGAAGGCAGTTTTTGGCTGCATCGACCGAGAGGGTTTATGGCAATATCTCTTACTGGAGCGAGTGCTAAGTAAGTACATCACTTTATTGAAAGGCTCTGTACTCAGAAATCCATACACGTGTTAGAGACTATGAGGTGCCATCAAACGGGTTGTGTATGCCAAGTGGTGTCCGGCAAGGATCTTCACTCTCTATTCTTATTCAATTTTGCCACGGACGTGCCTATGAAGATCTCCTTCTCCTCGTCCGACTCTGTTGAGGTCGTCACACGAGACTTCTTAGGAGACCTTGAGTATACAGATAACACAGTGCTGTTAGGTAGAACGCTGACAAGATACAGAGTCTTCTAGATACATTGAGTGGCAATTTGATAATGTTTGTGATGTTTATTCCTACCACGCAAATGCAAATTGTTGCTCGAGAACTGGTCTGCGTTGGAACTCCGTCTAGCGAATGGGCGAAGTGATTCAGTCTATTGACCCCATCACTCACTTGAAAGGCCAGATCAGTCATAATGGACCAATGACCAGCGAAATCTGCACATGGATTCAAAAGGCTCCCTTAGCTTTCCTGAATTCATACCAATAATGTCGCTGTTGTGATATCCTATTGTTTGTTAGCCTGAAACCAGTGTGGAGATCTTCTGCACTCAGCATGAAGAGAGAACGAGATCTGGATTTTCAACACCAATGTCAAATCAGTGCTCCCATATGGTTCAGAGACTTGGCGCGTTACGAAGGGGATTTCCAACAAACTACAGACATTCATCAAAAAACTGCCTACGCTGGCTCATTACTGAAGCTCAGATGGCCAGAATAATAAGACTAAGCAACAAGGAACTCTGGCTGGCTGATGACGAACCAACCAAGAAGCTATCACTGAACAAACATGCAGTGGAAGGAAGTGGAGATTGATTGGGCATACACTGAGAAGGCCAACTGTGGACATCACGCGCCAGGCCAGGCACTCGAGTGGAACCTAGATGGGAAGCGACGAGTTGGGTGTCCGTGGTGAGGGTGACATGGAGGAGATGGTGCGAGGAGGAAATGAGAGGTTGTAGGCTGTCGTGGAGCCAGGTTCAAAAGATTTCAGAGAACAGAGAGCATCGGAGACGTGCTACTGAAGCCCTATGTTCCACTAGGAATCCAAAGGAGAATGAAATAAATATTTGATTTTAACTCATATTTATTGACATTGTGAACTATTTCCCTATTTCGTTCTTAATTTTTTTAATTAATAGCAAATTCTATTTGACAAATTTTGACGTTTTCATGCACACTAACAATATAGAAATGGGATCAGACAGCTGTAGAGGATGAGACCGCTGAAACACATTTTTTCGCTTAAGTCTTTATACCTTTATGTGATTAAATATGAATATTTATAACTTTGAGTAACATGTTGACGTAAAATTATTGAAAAGTTAATCTGACTAGATAGGTCTAATAATGTGCACGTCCTGTGATCCTGTTTGTATGACATTGCAGATCATTTATAATATGCTGCCTTTTTTATGATTATAATAAACCCCCGAATATCGTGTATTACTATGTTTACCAACAGTTCACTTATTTTTCAAAAAGCAGCAAGACAGTATTGTATTTTTCTTGATTGTGATTTATAACTTTAAATAACTCTATTTGCATGAATGTGAAGAGAACTTTGGTATTTTGAGCGCTTAGTTTACGAACTAGATGAATGCATCGTGCAGCATAGATTATCAGGGTTTTTTTGCAGAATTACTCAATAGCATAAAATTTTCATTAACTTATGATCATGGAGGAAAGTTTTCAGCTTCTGTGAATCAAGTAATGAGCATAAAAGAATTCAGCGATGAAAATTTTCCTTTTAAAGCTTTACGTCAAAATCACATTCATCCGAATCCTTATTCTCTGAAAAGTCTGATACTGTCATTATGATGCAATGAAATCTCGATTAACTGAAAGTGAACGCAATATTTCATAAAGAGAACATGCTTCATACGAACTAACAAAAGATGACCGCACAAAATCCAAAAAGTATCAAGATAAAATTGAGAAAGTACGCTGAGAAGATAAAAGACCGGAACTTATGAGAAGTCCCACTCAAATTACCCTGTTATTTCATTATCTACTATCTAAATATAAACTTTATCACTAGGCCCAAAATTCTGCAGTATTTCATCATCTGCTATAGACCTCTATACCATAATCCAGTTCCAAACTCTAGTCAGTCAAACAAACTATCTTCTTCCCGTTTCTAACGATAGTCTAGAACAACTTAAGTCAGCAATTTTAAAACCCGGCTTTTAATGCATTACTACAAAACAGAACAATAGATTTTTATCAAAGAAGAACAAATCCCAACTAAACGACCCCCTCACAAATAAGGACTTGTTCCCAGTCCATGCTAATGAAGGTTCTGGTATCATATTCCACATCAGTATGATTGTGCTGCTACGTTGTAGCGAGAAATAATTCCCCAAAACCTATAAACTGGGGTTAGATAAGATTCAACATTGATTCTGACCTTCACTTGCACTTACGAACATGAAGGCAGATGGTCAGGCATCAGGCAGGCTATTGTGTTACGTTGCTCGTAATTAATCCTCTAGCCAGATAGTAAGAACGCATTAGGATTTTGGCACGGTCTTTCAAATATACCATCCTACTTGATTACTTCTATTGTGTTCTTTCTTGGTCTCGCACTTGTGAGTATATTACAAGTACGAATAATTAATGATTGGCCTTGCATCTGTCAATTTCCCGTAAAATCATTTCCTGAAAACCCATATTAAACAATAATGAACTATAACATCTCCAAGTTGTTTATTAAACAGTATACATTAAAAGCTCCACACGATGGCATGTTTTAAATCAAATTTTACTCATTACATCATAGAAATAATGTATAAAAATCCATTTTGACAAAACATTTATTTTATACACTTTATAGATTAACAGACCATCATCAGTGGCAGCCAAAATACTAATTCATTGACCAGAATGCAACGTTCGATTGAAGGCGTTGTATGACGAATCTAAATCAAAAAGCATTTGACGTACTTCAGCTTCAGATAATTCATCAGAAGCTTGCATTTGATCCATTTTATCTAGCCTGAAGAGCAAAATATATAACATCACTCGGATGATAATGTTTATGTTGTAAGACGAATTGAAAAATACCCCCTGAATGAAGAAAACTATCACACACACACACACACACACACACACACACACACCAGCTTTCGGCTTTTTCATAAAAACACAAGTGTGAATATCAATCAGAAACTTTGAACTCAGTCATCACAGAAACAGTTTGATTGAAAACCTAGAAGTAATGGAATCCAAACTCCCACTGGAATATTGTTTTTACCTAAATCAAAGAGCAACGAAATTAGTATCTACTCGGCAAATAAACTGGTTTCCGCTGAATATGGAATTAAGTTAATCTCAAATTACAATAAACAAGTCAGTAACTTGAACAAACTACGATGAATGTAGAAGGTATTAAATGAAAAAGTAAATTTCCACATCTCTGATAGATTAGACAATATGGTCACTAACAGTAGAGAAAATGACAAAATAATAACCAGAAAACTAACTGATATTTTACCTTGAATAAAAACACTTAGTCAAGAAATGTATCTTGCAAACAAATTAACTGACCCAAATTGTGCAAAACCCTATATCAGCCTACTAACAAATGCGAACAAAATTCTAAAAACACCACAGAATTGGTGAATCTGATATTTTTACCTTGAAATTTCAATGGCAAGTGTATGAACTGGATAAGTAGGTTGAGTTGAAATAAACGTCAATCGTTGGCAAATTAAACGCTCAATTAAAAAGAAGTGTAACAATGAGGTGTTCGGATTAAGTAACCACTATACACCTTGTTACATGAAAGTAATAACAGATAATGATAATAAGTGTTTCTGAAACGGTGGTCAGATACGCTACGATGAAGCTATTACACTTTGCAGCAGTACACAGAGAAATTCGAAAACTCAAGAATATTGAAATAAGCAAACTGATGGTACAGCAGGAAATAAATAAATAGAGAAGAATATGTTCACAAATCTGCATCACTGTAATTCAGTGGCCGCAATCATTACTTGGTTTAATTCCTTGATCATGCAATAAAGCAGTTCCACTATTATTCACAGGAAATTCCTAGGACTAAACTAAACAATGAATACGAAAACATAAAGTCTGACAATTTCACCTAAGTTAGACCATATACCTCAACAGAATACAAACTTAGTGTAGTACATACGTAATAAGGTTTCAATAGGTAACCTTATTTTTTCGCACCTATACGAAGATTAAAAGACCAAACAAAAGAAAACCGTATTTTGATATTCAAAGTTATATGGAATTCGCGAAACACTAAAAAAAGAAAGATGCACGAGAAGTGTCGTAAAATCCACATTTAAATTAATACTTTAGAACTGAACATCATTATTTTAGACATCCCGTTTTTTTAAAGTTAAACTATACGGCTAGATGACATGATTACAAACGAATAAAAATGGAAACTGAAATATCGTGTTAACAGGAGTAATGAATCGTAATCGAAAGCTAAGCATTATTCGTGACTGTCCGTAACTACCAAGGAATATCATGCTCAGAGAAAGATTGGGAAATTAAAAACACTTGGGTTACCACTGTATTCTTAATACTAGTTTGCAAGTCGCAATTTCGAGGTTTTATTAAGTGAATCATAGACTTGAAATAGCTAAGTACACTCCGCTCTAAACAACCGGGTAATTCTTTAGTTCTAATACAATATTCATTTTCAATAGCTTAGTGTATGAGCTTGTAAGTTTCGGTAGTCAACACATTGAAACTTAAATGCTAATCAGTTACGTCTGAATCAAACTTTAATCGCCGAGTACCGTTAGATGAATGAAAAAATACATCTCTTCATATCTGGTTCAAATACGGCCTTAGCTGCTTTCCTCACTCCTAAACCGCTTTTAATAGCATCTGTTAGCTGCCTATAGGGAGACGATGACTAGTTGAATGTGTCTAAGCATTATCACATTCTCCATGAATACAACCAATAAAGAGACTGAAACAAGCAGAAACAATACTAGGCAGCCCAAACGGTTCAAAGTAAATAGATTGATAGCTTTGATATACTTTTTTTTCTGTTAAAAGTGATCAGTCTCAATGGGTATTCTTGGTTGTAATATCATTACGCAAGCGTTACTAATATTTCATTTGTTACGACCAAAAGGACAACTTCAAGCAAAAATAATCTTCAAAATTTGCTTACCAAACTTTAACTTTATCTTTACCTTCAAAATCAGAAGGTAAGATGCTCAGTCGACAAATAGTCTCGTATAACTCTCGAAGATCTGGATGGATCTATGGACAAGGAAATTTATCAGTTGTTTGAATAATTTTACTTCATCAACTGCACGGATTTCCAATCGCAACTTATCCATAATCGTAATAAACAGCTGCAGGTAAATAATAATAATAATTGGATCTTTAAGTTTGAAAATTGATTAAAAAGCGAGTATTTCACAGTTAAAATATAAACGCTCGAAAAAAAGTTCAGTTTCGAAGGAAAGATACCTACGAATTGAGGATGAAGACTAATAAATGAATAGCGATTGTAGTATGTAACTTGATAACAATAAACAACTTTGCTCACTTGATACCAAGCTATACCAGACTGACAGCTGCAACCATGACATGGGGAGACATTTGTTCCTCGAGGTCCTACCAAGCCAGAAAGTTCTGTCAGATAGAGACACATAGAATCAAAGGAAAACCTTACACAGAAGTGCATCGGTCGAACTTGCTACACTTGACAATAGTATGCAAATAGCAAGTAGACAGAAAAAGTTATAATAAAATATTAAGTGTGGGAGGAGGATGAATAAGATGGGTAGAACATTCTAGACTTCAAAGAGTATATCTGTACCGTTGTGATCGTTTTTCAAAGACGTCAACAAGAGTTTTAGATCATTCATTCTTATCGTCTCGAAAAGCCCAATTAACCAGCCTACGCTATCCTTGAGGGTTCGAATGAACAGCCAAACTTTATGGAGTGATACCACTTCTTGATTTCCTCACTCTTAATCTTCTAGAGCAACCCTACTTCAGCTAACATTCCACGTCGAAGGTGGTGAGTCAACACGTGCAACATATCCCGAAGCCATCTGAATCGATGAAGGTGTACCTCATACACTAACTTTCCTTTTGAACCTAGAACTATGTCTGATGTCTACATTACAGACATGGTGATTATGCAATAAACCTAACGCTACAAAGGTAACGCTGGTAGAACACCTGAACCTCACATCCTACATCTTTAATAATCATATTTCGTGGCTTAATATTAGAACAAAGAGAACTGAAGAACAGTACATATGGTCCGCAATAAACAATAGGATATCACAACAGCGACATTATTGGTATGAATTCAGGAAAGCTAAGGGAGCCTTTTGAATCCATGTGCAGATTTCGCTGGTCATTGGTCCATTATGGCTGATTTGGCCTTTCAAGTGAGTGATGGGGTCAATAGACTGAATCACTTCGCCCATTCGCTAGACGGAGTTCCAACGCAGACCAGTTCTCGAGCAACAATTTGCATTTGCGTGGTAGGAATAAACATCACAAACATTATCAAATTGCCACTCAATGTATCTAGAAGACTCTGTATCTTGTCAGCGTTCTACCTAACAGCACTGTGTTATCTGTATACTCAAGGTCTCCTAAGAAGTCTCGTGTGACGACCTCAACAGAGTCGGACGAGGAGAAGGAGATCTTCATAGGCACGTCCGTGGCAAAATTGAATAAGAATAGAGAGTGAAGATCCTTGCCGGACACCACTTGGCATACACAACCCGTTTGATGGCACCTCATAGTCTCTAACACGTGTATGGATTTCTGAGTACAGAGCCTTTCAATAAAGTGATGTACTTACTTAGCACTCGCTCCAGTAAGAGATATTGCCATAAACCCTCTCGGTCGATGCAGCCAAAAACTGCCTTCGGGTCAAGCAATGGAGCTAGTGTCACGCAGCGGTGTGTCTGTGTTCCGGAACCTGGAAGATTGAACACCTGGTCGACTCACTCACGAATTCGTTCGAAACCTGCCTGGTTTTCTTAAGTTTACTGTCCTCAGACTTCGACTGGGTGTCTAATAATCATAGAGCGTAGGATCTTAAACACCATGTTCATTAGACAGCTTCCCCTATAGTTTTCACAGGAAGACTTCTTGCCTTTCTTGAAGACTGGGAGAACCAGTGATTGAGATCAGCCAGATAGGATATGTCATCCCGTAGCTAACAATTCAGTTCACTTGAACTATAATCCCCGACCACTGTCCTTAAATACTTTAGATACTAGTCCATCTGGCACTGTCGGCATCACTCATTTCAGGTTACTTACATCCTTGCTAACTTATGCAAGAGCTGGAACGCCAGTCTCCGTGTTTCATCCAGGACTCAACTGGATACTGGACAACAGAGTAGTAGATGGAGGTCAGTTGAATTGTTTCTCAGTCTTTCATCCATCGTTCCAGCCGTCTCCCTAACCGTAAATCTGTCTCTCTCTCTCTCTCCTAGTGTCTTACTAACTACGAACTTTGCTATCCATTTACTCGATAGATCTAAACTGTTTACTGTTAGTTATAAAAACTGCCTTTTCCATACCTTCAGTTTTCACCAATCAGTCATTGTGTAGACTCTTTGTCCCTATACATTTCAGTTGCTTCCGCAGTTAAATGTGCTCCGAGCCTGAAGGAATGGCATCCATGCACATGCAATTATTCAGAAGCCGGTGCGACCCACTGTCTCTTTCTCAATTCTTTGAGTCAGCTGCGGTATTTAACGCTGTTTTTAGTGAAGACTGGAGATGGGATCAGGCTTCTTCTGGATGACTGATGTTGTTCTGTCCTGATAACTATCTTCTCGATTCCCTGCTGAAAGCAGAGTTAATATCCACACTATCGAGCTGTACTTGGAATGTTCTTCCAGCTGTATTCTTTATTTGCACCAGCCACAACAACCACGTCTGAATACTTTACTTTTAGTAGGAGGTTAGCCAGTTTTCGGTAAAATTCTTTCTACACTACATCCGAGTTATTGTCTATAGGTGCGTAACCAGAAATTACAATGAGACAACGATGAGTCTTACAACTCGTTTTAGCCCTCCAGTCACCGTTCACTCGATCGGCGCATAGGCGACTGTCAACTCTGACCCACTCGAGAAGTGCCCTTACTGCCTTAGGACTCAATGCTATACCTACACCTGTAAGACGGTCAGAACTAGTCATAAAAATTTCTATAAACTCAAAGAGCAGATTTCACAAATTCACCGTATTGACTGGGTGATGTTCAGTGAACAACCGTACATGGGTCCTGTATATGTCTCACAAATACAGCACACATCCATGGTCAGAGATGTCAGGATTTTGGCTAGCTAAGCTTGCTGACAGATTTGAAAGAGCGTGCAGAAATTTAAGACAGTTTCAGAAGATCAGAGATTATGTTATTATTATTTTTCCCTTGGGTTCCTAGTGGAACATAGGGCTTCAGTAGCACGTCTCCGATGCTCTCTGTTCTCTGAAATCTTTTGAACCTGGCTCCACGACAGCCTACAACCTCTCATTTCCTCCTCGCACCATCTCCTCCATGTCACCCTCACCACGGACACCCAACTCGTCGCTTCCCATCTAGGTTCCACTCGAGTGCCTGGCCTGGCGCATGATGTCCACAGTTGGCCTTCTCAGTGTATGCCCAATCAATCTCCACTTCCTTCCACTGCATGTTTGTTCAGTGATAGCTTCTTGGTTGGTTCGTCATCAGCCAGCCAGAGTTCCTTGTTGCTTAGTCTTATTATTCTGGCCATCTGAGCTTCAGTAATGAGCCAGCGTAGGCAGTTTTTTGATGAATGTCTGTAGTTTGTTGGAAATCCCCTTCGTAACGCGCCAAGTCTCTGAACCATATGGGAGCACTGATTTGACATTGGTGTTGAAAATCCAGATCTCGTTCTCTCTTCATGCTGAGTGCAGAAGATCTCCACACTGGTTTCAGCCTAATGAATGCCTGTCTTGCTTTTCCGATTCTGACTTTGACGTCCTCGTCTGTGCCTGTGCCGCCTGTAGTTGAAACAGTGCTGCCTAGATAGGTGAAGCAGGCTACTTCTCTTAAGTTTCTCCCGTTCATGATGATTTGAGCTGGTTGTTGCTGTTGTTCTTCGTTGGGTATCTTCATCACCTCTGTCTCCTCTATATTCACTTGAAGTCCCGTCTTCGCTGCCCTGCCTCTTCTGTCAACTTGTTAGTTTTCGTCTGCAGATCTTCCAGTTTGTGCGACATCAGACACAAGTCATCGGCGAAATCCAAGTCTACTAAGTTCGTTTCCGCAGTCCAGCTAGCGTATCCCCCTCTTCTCACCCCCCACTGTTTGTTGCATGATCCAGTCCAGTCGACCACAATCAGGAATATCATGGGTGATAGTAGACAGCCTTGTTTCACTCCTGTCTTCACTTCAAAAGCATCACTGAGCTGAGCTTCGCATTGTGAATTACTTGGCCGGCATGTGGTGTCTTCATATATTTGTTGAATGAAGCTGATAAATGTTTGTGGTATTCCGTAGTGTTGAAGCAGTTGCCAGATTACTTCTCGGACGACGCTGTCAAAGGCCTTTTGAAAGTCGATGAAGTTGAGGTAGAGGGTTGACTGTCATTCTATATTTTGTTCTATGATGATGCGTAGCGTGGCGTTGCAATTTGTTCCGTACATGATTTGTACTTCCTGAATCCAGCCAGCCAGCCTGTTGCGGTCGTCGTTTTGAATCCAGTGCATCCTTTAGTCTCTCCAGGATGATGTGGCTTAATATTTTGCTTTCTTTGGGTGGACAAGAGAGTGATTCCGCGCCAGTTCTTGCAAACACTTAGGTCTCCCTTCTTCAGCATTGTGACAAGGTAACCCTTCTTCCAATCACTAGCCAGGTACCTTCCCTTCCTTCCACACCTTCTGCAATAGTGGTGTGAGCATGTCTGCTGTTGTCTCTGCGTCTGTTCTCAGAGCTTCTGGTGGGATCCCATCTGGTCCTGCTGCTTTCCCACATTTCAGTAGTTTTATGGCGTTCAGGACTTCCATTTTTGTTGGAGGATTTATGTTCCCTTGTAGTTCTGTGGCTGGGCTGCAGGTGGTATTTCTGGACGAAGTGCAGGTGGTGGTGGTGGTGGTGGTCGATTCAAGAGCTTCTTGAAGTGGTCGGCCCATTGTTTCCTTTGTTTCTGTTCTTTGGTAATTAAATTTCTTTCATTATATTTAATTGGTTTCATCTGCGTTGATCAGATCAGAGATACTGTTCCATAAACTCAAATCGTTATCAAGGGATGAAGAGCTGCCAGAAATTAAAAAGTATGGGGAATATTGATGAAAAGACTTGATAGGACATTAAAAGATAAGGATGTGGAAGACTGGAGCAAGGGGTGGCTGACACTTCCCAGACGCCTACATCATAAAATGCTAGTTCTTCTTTAGGTACTTGAGAAAGAAAAGTTAGTGCATGACCACAGCCCTCAAGGGAAATCTGTTTGACACCGGACACACATGGCCTTTCTATAAGTTTGAGATTTGAGTCAGTTAGTTTCAACTCCCACTATGAACCCAAATCGCCGGCAGAGCAAAAGAGAGTGTGCTATTGTTGGGGTCGACCTTTTCAAGCCTCCTCGCTTTCGATAGGGAAGGGAACATCAACACATCAGCATAGTACTACCAGTCATCCACAGGAAACAGCTTACTGCTGTCATACCCATCCACACGTACTGTCACATCCCCATCCAGCAAGCAGTACGACTTCGCCCTCGAATCTTCCATCACAGCGTAGTAATTTACACTACAAAGGAAACTGCTTTTTGTCTTACCACTATCCAACTGACCTTTCCAATGTGGCAAAACCTCGAGATAATAACCTTTCCACCAGCATAGTTCGTTGGGTTATTGTGATATGCAAGCCCGAACTCTACGTCAAGGTAGCAGCTGTTGATCGGGAGATATACTGAATTGGTGTTGTCTAACAAATGATAAACAGCAAATCGAGAGTACCGGGGAAGGCTATTAACCAGTTAATCAAAAACTAAGGGTGCTCCTGAATTTGTTTCCTTCATGATAATAATGAACAAACACTGGTGCATCTATTTCATATTTAAAATGATAGATAATGGGTGAAGTTAGCTAACGTACTATGCTGCATGCGGTTATGTCTGTATGTAAACATCGAGAAAAAAAACCGGCAAAACTTTTTACTGAATACAGATTACTCAATCAACACTTTTGTCGGGTTAAACAGGGAAATGTTGGGCCCAGCCAGCTTTGGGCTGTTATCAGCTAGTCGAACCTATTGTAGCACACCCAAGGCCACGAAATAATTTCGAGCTAACGTTTGTACTACTCAAATTTTGTCAGTAGCCAAAATTATGCATACCATTTTAAAATTGCACATGTAAACCATATTTAGCTACTTCATAAAAAGTGTATATCTGTAACCAGAAAAGGAAATCGCACCTTCCTTCAGAGTTCGGGTCGCATTATAATATTTTGTTTTAAGGTTTAGAGATTATAAGCGAAATCAGTGTATTGAATTGTCATTAGTTCTGCACAGCATGAGATTTTTCTTTGTTACTAATTACTGCGAACATCTAAACATCAGTGATGCAATCAAAGTCTGTTGTTCCGGGTACCATTCGGAAACTAAGGGAGTTAACTCACTTGACTTACCTTAAACATCCCGAATAGCAAGACAATTTGCTAAAAAAAAAGTCAACCGCACACAAATAGTAGTTGGTTCGAGGCAATCGGCAGGAAGTCCTCCAACCAATTAACATCTACTAATGTGCACCGCGATGCTGAGCTTCCTAGCTTGGTTGCCACATTGCAAATATGATTCACAGCATTCAATCTGCACTCAGGACTAGACAGTATGAAATCGGTTGCACTCCCATGACCAATCAATGCACACAAATACTGTTTATAGTAGAATAAAAAAGTGGACGAGATGGTTAAGAGTTGCCTAAAAGTATGTGCTCAAAGGGAAGTCGTTTCAGTAATTTTGAGTAACTCAAATGTCGGTAAGTATACTTTGAAATCCATACACTTATCACCGCATATGTATGCAGTGATACATGTGATTTAACTACACAAAGTAGCGAGCTTATTTTGTTTTAATAATGATTTTCTCACCGACCAATCTAGGCACGGAAGAGAAGTAGAGAAAATGAAGAAAGCGCTTTCGGCACCGCTGTTGCTATATGTTTGACGTAGGACATATCTTTGGAGGCACGCAAGTACATTTTGACCATATGTGAACGGTTCACGCCTGAAATACCGGCTGATCCAAGTACGATTTTACGTCAGGTAAGCAAAGACTTGCATTGTAAAAGAAGTGGAACAAGGCCATTTCCTTCACATAGATCTGCATAAAATCCAAGCTAATGTTTTCCACATTTATTTGATTTCCCCTCATTCTCGAGTTCATTCAGAAGTGAATATACTTACCTCCCATCAATTACCAGGAAAACCTCACAATTGAACACTTAATCAGTATGAAATATGATTGTATTATGATTCCAGGATATTACATCCCGTATTTTAGAAATTCTTATCTTCAGTATGCATCGCGCTTCAAGTCCATTTCTTAAACTTAGGGTGAAATAGCTGGTTATGTATCAAAATTATTGACATTTTTAAAAGTTTCGTTCACCTTAAGTGGATTCTTAGTGATGAAATCTAGCATGTGAATGACAATTTCTGAATATGCAACTTAGCAACCACACAGAATCTATATAAGAGGTTATAATCTACATAGTACTATCTGAAGGAACAGAAGTTTTAGTGATCTGCAGCAGTATATTACCATGTAGCAAAGTCAAAAATATCAAAAAACAAAGGCAGAAAAATGAATAGAAAATTAATGCGAGGATTTCACGCATCTCACTACTAAGGCACACAGCTTCTTGTAAAGAGAGAACCTGAGCAGTGAATCTTCATGAGACTATATTTAACCACACCTTGCAAAGAACGGGGGGCTTTGATGTAGCTGTGTCGTTTACAACATACTCCTTTACACAAAACCAGACCTCGGAAGGAAGAACTAAGTGTGCCGTTTGTAACAATCACTAGAAGCATTAAAGGTTTGAAATTTAAATACGACACACAAAGTCAAGTAATTCTTCACAGTAGTATCCAAAGAAAAAGTGGGTAGAAAAAGAGCGATCTTAAGATAGACAGAAGTGTATGGGAGGAGAAAGAAAATGAGATTAGCGAGTGTTCAAACTTACAGAAACAGTATCAGCTATACATTTGTTCACATTCTGCTTATCGTCCTTAATAGTTATTGGCCTTCCTTCCTTAATACGCTCTAGAGCAGCTGGACAGTCCATCTAATACGCATAAATGAAACGTTATATCAATTAACTGATAAACCTTATATTTTCGCATGAAATCCTCTACAGTGGCGAACTCATCTCCTTGAACTTGCTTGAATGCAGCTTTGTATTGCACAAGAAGCTTTGAGCAAGCAGCAGTATATCTATGTGAGAAAAGACTATTTTAAAAATAAATATAACTCAACTCTTTTGATTCGACATAATCCTTTATGTACGCTTTCTGTAAACACTGCATTGTATTGATAACAGCATAAAGTTCTGCAAGATTGTCATACCTGCAAGATGTTTAAAGTAAATACTAGGCACTAACTTCTCTCTTTCACGTGCAGTACGATAAAGCTTGACTTCCTGAATTTAAAATAAAGGCGATATGAATACTGACATACTTCGTACAATTCGACACGACTATCCACTAAAAAGGAACAAAAATGACCTGTTACTCAGGAGGAGGTAATATCTAAGCACTGCAGGAGTCAAAAATAGTTACCAACAGTATAACACATTGACGGTAAGACTGAAATGGACGATTGTTGAAAAAACCAATTCGACTTGCATAAACAATTTGTTTACTGATAGTTCATCATTAAACAGGTACTTCCCTTCTAAATATTCACACCTTATGAACCAAACATCTAGTACATAAATATGAATTTATTTTGAAACAGAAACCCATTAAATAGAAGAATATCACCAGATTTTGCAGTATGATGACTGGATATCCACGACATTGTTTGATGCATAACAATACTTCAAACTATCCTTAAATGCACTGTTTAAAAATATGACCATATACAATTGAAGAAATTAAATAAAGCACTGCTTTTGATTGTCGCTAAATTGACAGAACGAAGTGGTCGTCCTAGCTCCTACCAGGACGTGGTAGTCGGGCTTGCATAACCAATGACACAAGATATGTTGGTGGGAACGTTTGTCCCTTGAGGTGCGAACATACTATAAAGGTTTCTTGGATAGTGATGGAACTTAAAGTAGTTACCATGAGTGTGTTGATGGCTACTATATAATGGGTGGTAGAGCAGTGAAGTCATACTTTTGACTGGACAGCGTGTGATAGCAGAAGGCTGTTTCCCACGGACGACCAGCACAGTACCTTTCTCACAAAAAGGAGGGTTTAAAAGTGTTGGCCAAAAAGTAAGCAGATTCCTTCCTCCCCTGAGGCATCTCAGTGCCGGCGGTATGAGAAATTTTTGTCCGGTGGTAGCACAATCAAATCTGACTTCAACATCCATAAAAATGTGATGACCAGTCTTAAGCAGATGTCCCTTGAAATCTGCGCTCAAGCAAAATTAATCCGTTGTTATGTTTACCGAAGTACCCATATGCTGCTTATTCTTCCGCGTAAGAAACCTCCGTACAAAATCGCACACACTGTATGATGTAGTACACCAAGTATCAAGAAGTTTCAAGAAACTTGCAAAGATTCAGCGTTTATTAGCGGGATATTGCTCAAAGTCGCCAACAGCTTTACTACCGTTTTCGTGTCGTTTTTTAAGTGCAACGTATGCTCATCTACGCTTTCTGGAGGTTCAACAATAGTGATGAATCAAGCTCCTTTCGGTATTCAGATACAGTACTAGATGCCAAAGTTGACCTACGTAAACCGATTTCGGATGACGTTTTTGATGACCGCTAAAACACAAGATAAACATACTCAGACGTGGTTACAGTTCATACATGTGCTCCAGAAGACGTGGCAGTCTAAAATATACTCATGCAATAGCAAATCGACTGTAACATGGTTTCCTTAAGCGAAGAATTGAGTGGCAGAGGGAGGACGACAAGTACCAGAATAGTGATGACTATGCCGGAAATTATTGTTTGTTGAAAACATATGATTCATACAAAGCTGAGGACTTTCCCCAGTATTTAGTCTGCAGCCAACTAAACACTACTGTTCACCCAAATGCCCCTCCTTTGAACCTAGGCGCACAACCAAAGCATACAAATGAATGACTGGTAAAATCAACGTAAAACCTCGCACACAAGTGCATCGGCTCAAGTTGCTACACTTCACAGTAGTACACAAAAAACAGGTGGATGGAAAGAGAGTGATATCAAAGTAGACAAAGTTGTGTGAGAGAACAAGCGGTTTGAAGATAAAGGTTGATACAAATATCCAAGCTCTAGGAGATGTCAGGGAGTGAGTACATCCCTGAGCCAGTGACCGATTTTCAGCCATGTCATCAAGAATCATCTCCACAAACAGCTCAGGTCAATGGTAGGGGACTTGATCGACTGGTGCCACGTCTCGATCTGGTTACACTGAAACCTCTTCCAACGTAATCCAACTTCCCTTAACATGGCAATTCAAGGTAGGCAGTGGCTCACCATGCAGAGTGCATGTCAAAGTCATCTCGATCGACTCAACTTTACAACCTCATCAGGAATCCTAGTTTTGGCGAACGACGTTTGCTGTTCCATTTGGCATAGAGTTAGGACGTAGAAAGCTCCTACATGAAATCGATGGTGAGGTCTTAGGAGACTAGGTTTGAGGTTTCGATGGTTTTGGTCGTTCGCAATGGTTGCAGAGCGAGACGTTGGGTAAGCCACAAGGGGCTTGATATTAGTATCAGGAGGTGGAGGCAAAGGAGGAGATATAGTTGACCGGAATAGGTTACATTCGATTGGGTCTTCCAGTAGTAACTGGAAGCGTGCTGGTGGTTGACACTTCGCGGAAGACTATTTCTTCTTAAGGTGCCTGAAAGATAAAAACGAAAAGAATTGTAGGATGTTGTTTTGAGGTTTGGTTGTTCCGACACTGGACAGAGAGGACCCGTACTACCGGCACTGGAAGACCATGGGGTAGAGAGGAATGTGCTGTTTTTGCGCTAGTACGGGCTCGCATATGTCTGTTCTTTACTGGTCGCAGGAAATAGGATGCAGTGAGGCGCGTATGTGCTCAATTGATAGGTGAGGACACCAAGTACGCAGTTTGATAGGAGTTAGCCCAGCATTTATCTGAACGTGACAGCAGTGCTAATTCTGAGAAAACCTGGGGCGATATTAGGTCTACTGTAGAAACGGCGGTAAAGACAATTGGTAATCAACACTCGGAAGTTAGCAAACGCCATTGGATTTCCGCAACGTCATATAAACTGATCGATGAGAGAAGACTGATTCCAACTGGCTCTGACTATGACGAAGGGCGAATGCAACTAGAAAGTAAATTGACCAAGAGTCTTCACGTCGATCGCGAGCAATGGTGAGTGGCGAAAGCGAGAGTGCCGCGGAAGGAATCAGCGTTGGGTAACACTCAACTATTTAGGCCTATTAGGGATACCGACAAAAAGACAATGGTTGGTTAAACTATCACTGAAAAGGATGGAACGCTAATAACCTCCCAGGACAGGTGGATAGGACGCTAGACAGAACACTTTGAAGGATAGTTCAACTGGCCCTCAGAAGCGCTTCAGTTGCCCAGCACCCAACCAGCCTGGACCTGAATAGCACATTGATGTTGGTCCTCCAACTCTTCCTGAAGTTTAGAAAGGTGTATTAAACGTGAAACAAAGCAAGGTAGCAGGACCTAACAGTTTGCCACCTGAAGTTTTTAAATGTGGATGTAGGAAATTGCTGATTAGAGTGACGGTCATAATAGTTAGTGTACGGTATTCAGAGGTAGTGCCGTCAGACTGGTGTACTTCACAGATCATTCCAGTCAATAAGGAGAGGGAGAAATCTTCCTGTGACAACCATAGGGGGTGCGTTTGACAGATATTATATACAAGATCCTATGGTAAGAAGTTATCCAACGCCTAACTGGAGCACAAGAACAGCAAACTGGAGAAAACCAGGCGGGTTTCAGACAAGCTTGGACGAGGGTGCGGGTTTTGGAATACAGGCCTACCTACTGACCAGTGGTCAACAATTGTCATATTTCTTGACATGAAGGCGGTATTTAACTCTGCCAACTGTGAGGTGTTGCGGCAGTGTCTGGTTGTGAAAGGAATACCGAGCAAGTCTATTGATGTTTATGAAAGTTCTCTACTTGAACTCACGCAGCCGTGTCAGGGCTTATGAAAAGTCATGTGAATTGACGACAGCTAGTGGTGTCCGCCAGGGATGTTCACTGTCACCATTTCTATTTAACTTACTAATCAAAATAACTCTGACTCCGCAAGGGTTGACCTACACCCTCAAGGTCATCTGGTTGACTTGGAGTTTGTTAACGCTATGGTCCTGCTGGGTGAAGATGCCAGCAAAATACAAGGTCTTCTGAACGCATCGAGCAGAAATTTGTGTATGACATGCGTTTCGCATCTGTCAAATGTAAGATGATACTCAAGGACTGATATGCAACGACTCCATGCTTAATGATTGGGAGTGAAGTAGTGCAATGTATCAGCTACTTCACTTACCTGGGGAGCTGCATCAGCCCAAATGTGGTGGTTGCTGATGAAATCTCAGGTCGGATAGAGAAAGACCGTTTGACATCTGTCAAATTGCATCATCTGTAGCGCCAACTGGTGAGATATCTAAGGACGAGTATACTGTCCTGTAACCACTTTCCGTCCTGTCACACGGCTATGAGACATGATAGTTAGAAGTGAGACGTCAAATGGTGGCAGGGTTTTGTCCATAAGTGTCTTCGTAGCATTGCTCGCGTGTGGTGGAATCACCATGTGAGCAATGTTGAGGTCAGGCGAAGGATACTAGAGAAAGACAAGTCGATTGATGAAGTTGTGAAGTTAAGTCGATCGAGATGACTTTGACATGCACTCTGCATGGTGAGCCACTGCCTACCTTGAATTGCCATGTTAAGGGAAGTTGGATTACGTTGGAAGAGGTTTCAGTGTAACCAGATCGAGACGTGGCACCAGTCGATCAAGTCCCCTACCATTGACCTGAGCTGTTTGTAGAGATGATTCTTGATGACATGGCTGAAAATCGGTCACTGGCTCAGGGATGTACTCACTCCCTGACATCTCCTAGAGCTTGGATATTTGTATCAACCTTTATCTTCAAACCGCTTGTTCTCTCACACAACTTTGTCTACTTTGATATCACTCTCTTTCCATCCACCTGTTTTTTGTGTACTACTGTGAAGTGTGGCAACTTGAGCCGATGCACTTGTGTGCGAGGTTTTACGTTGATTTTGTTAGTCAGTCAAACCCCTATCATATTCTAGAAACTTACGATACAACAGTAACTGCTTTTCCTTTTACTACTATCTAACAGACCCTTCTGGCATGGTAGGACCTCGAGGGAACAAGCGTTCTGCTAGCATAGTTCTTTGGGTCATTTTGATACCCAAGTCTGACAACGTTAGGGCAGCAGCTTTCGACTGGGAACACAGTTCGACACTACGGTTCATCATCTCTTTTGATATATCACAACGATTACTGTTTCTCACGGATACACTTGGCTGGTTTTATTTCCGCCTGCTTTTACTCTTTATCGTGATTAGAATCAGCTGGAGTAAATTTCGCACTAATCAGGTAGGTCTAAGAAGCAACCGGGTAGTACTATAAGGCCTAAATAAAAGCATGGCTAATAACCCCGTACATATATCTGTTACGGAGTGAGTGGTATTAACAATCATTTTGGGTTGGGCTGCAGAGAAGCTTGATAATCCACATCCACCGATTAAAATGCAAATACGTACGTGCTAGGAATAATGAATGATCCGGATCCAAACAGGATCTTTGAAAAAAAATATGAGCAATCCTGTTCAAGGATGGAATAGTAGTTTATGTTTGTCTCTCACTGATTTGATGTTGGCGATCGTCAAGCAAAGCATCTCTTATGCCTAAACCAAACGCTAGGCAGAAACAGGTGTTTGTTAGAACATTTACAAGAAAGGCATAAGTTCGTCAGCATGAAATTCCAAAGATAGCCCAAGATCCTTTTTCGACTTATGCAGTATCCTAACCTGACCACTGAGGTCCTTTACTAGTATTTTTAGATTTGGATGTTTCACTTTTTATTACGAAACTGACACCTTGTCCATCCATCCAAGTCAGCATAGGACCAGGCGTTATTGCGTAACGGTCCGAGTTGCCACAGCTCATGTCAGTACATCAGGTAAAAAGGCAGTAAAGTGGAAGATGGAGGAAAGAAAATTCAGCCAAAAGAAATATGAAAAAGAGAAAGGAACGATGGGGAAATGGTGAGGTTTGGCATGGCGTTAAGATGAGGATAATGCGCCACTGACACCTTGTGGAAAGACAGTCGCCAGCGGCCGTACAGGTGAAAACTACAGGCATCGGCGAGTTAGTCCTTTTCAGCCCTTACGGACTCATTCAACCAGAAAGCACGTAGATTGTTCAGTGGAGTCCAATTGAACAGTGCTACTTTTATCTTACAAATTAATATTACCATACGGTCTCACAATATTGGGTCTGTGATGTCAAGTGGATAATCACACTTAGACCTCTTATGGGTGAGTCAGGAAAACAACTAACCTTCCAGGCCCGAGATACCACGGTTTTGGTTGACCAGTCATTTTTTAATACAGTGTGAGATTCAAACTGAAAGTTTCCTTATGAAAATTGGAAACTAGGGAACTAAAATGTGCTTTGTTGGCTTGTTATCATTAGGGTTGTATATAAATAGAACCTTACAGAAATATCAGGTGGACAGAATGATAGTGAAGTAAGCGTTATTGTACGGGACAGGGAATAAATATCAGTAACATGCTCAAAATATTAAGAATGAAAGTATACACAAATGCGCCAGCGATTAATTTTTAAGCAAACCGACAATCTGTACCTGCGGTGAGATAATCAGTAAGAAGGAAGAGGCAAGGGTAAGGAAAGATAATCAGATTTGTCTCATGTAGAGAAATACACACTCGTCTAAAAATAAGTATCCTTGCTGAGAGGATCAAACAACTTGCATTAGGAGTGAAGGACGCCTCTCGACCATTTCAACTTTCACGACGTATTTAGAATATTGAACATCATTCCAGTTTTTACTGAAAAGGAGTCATCTGCATACTGACTCGAAGACAATAAGACCAGTCTGTTTAATGATAGTCGATGATAAAGAAATTTCTAAACATGTCTATAACTACCAAGTACTGGACTGAAGTGAATATGCTGAATGAACACTATTTGAGACAGAGCGTTAACCTGGTACCTTACAACTGCAGTCTAAACGCCAGTAAAGCAAAACTTGTATTATATCAGCAATGGGTGTTACGTTAGTGGAAACAAGCTTACACCTAGTAAAGTAGTTCCCATGGTTAAAAGCAGGGTGAAACATGGCATTATCAAGCTACACAAGAGGTCGAATTCAAAAGGTGAGTGAAACTCACAAATAAACAAAATTAACTCTGATAAAGAGACAAATATATTGCTTTCAAGAGCTAACGGTAGGCAGTTATGAGATATTCAAACACTGCCACAACACCTCACGGTCGACAGAGTATAAAAAACAGTCAACACAAGCCTCATAAAAAACATTTACATATATATATATATATATATATATATATCATTAAATATTGTCTTGAACTTACTGCTTATACACGAACGTTGTAACGCACACTTCACCTCGCGCCTTAATGCTATAGTACAATGTCTACCATAATCATTGGGTATTAGCGAGTTGGTTTCCTTATCTTTACTTCTTTTCCGGCCAGAATGAATGATAGGTGGTATGTACCCGATAATCCAATGTCCAATATTGATAATGCGAGGGTAGAAAACTGATAGTTTTTGATCTCTTGCCTCTAGTTCTTAGGGCCTGGTTCAAGCTGTTCGGTTCACTCCTGCAGTGAATGAGGAAATCCCCTCTACCTTCTTGCTTTTAGCCTTGGTGAGGTAGATGTTTTGTGAGTTAGTAAGTTGTAACTTGCAGGATGATTGGAGAGCTACGGGTTGCTGGGACGTTTGGGGGGCTGCCATGACTCCTGTCTGTGAAGGTACCTGAAAGAGAATAGTAAGGTAGTAGTAAAAGAATGAAGTTGAAAAGAAGGGAACTGAAGGAAGAGAAAAAGGAAAGGTAGAAAGGGGAAAGGAGAAGAAAAGGAGGGGTGAAAAAGAGGAATAAAAGAGGGAGAAAAGTGTGTGGGAATTGCCCGAATGGTAGCGTGGATTTACTTCCTACTGAAGAATTAGTAGTTACTATGGATGTATTAAGGAGAGAGATGGTGAGTGGTAGGTAGGAGGGAGTTGGGGGATGGTGAGGTTGGTGGCTACCTGAGCACGTCCGTAGCAGGCAGTGCGGCGATATAACTGTCTAACCGTCTCTTGAATGAGTCGACTGAAGGAACAATAACGATATGTCGCGGTAAGGCATTCCATAAAGCACATACTCTTAGGGAGAAAAAATTGAACCCGAGTACGGTGTTGGCCGTCTGGTGTGCTATCTTAATGGGGTTTCCTCGTGAAAATCTCTGAGCTGCAGGCAAAATTTGTTTGCGTGGTCTGCCTGATGGGCGATCTTGTATGCCATAATGTCACCCCTCTTCCCACAATAACCCAAGGTAAATAAGCTTATATTTTAAGTCTTTCAGGATGCGTCTTTCCCCTTAGCCCCACGACTGATTTTGTTGTGGTTCTTTGTGTTTTTTTTTCAAGGAGATTTGGGTCTATCTTGAGTGTTGGGGGGCACCGCATTGAAGACCTCTAGAGGCGGCCGCACGTAGGATTTGAAAACGGCAAGGAAAAGTTTGGGGGTGAGAGCACCAGGCTGTCTACTCAGAAAGTGCAGAATGGCCTTCGCTCAGGTTGTCATACCTTTGTAGTTGGAGCTGGTGTTCAATGTGTCGGAGAAGTTGAGCCCTAAATCTTTCTCCATGGACACTCTGGTGATAGCATGGTTGCTCAACATGTACTGGAAGTCGGTCGTACTTGCCTCTTATTTACTGATGTGCATTACTTTGCGCTTTTCCAGGTTAAAGCTCACGCCATTTTCCGAAGACCAGAGTTCGAGTCGCTGCAAGTTTTTTTGTAGTGCTGTACAGTAAGCTTCCTCGTTTACCACCCTCCAAATTTTAATGTCGTCAGCGAAGAAGAGGATGGGTGAGGATATTTTTTCTGGCAGATCGCTGAAAAACAGAAGGAGCAGAAGTGGTCCTAGGATTGCTCCCTGGGAACTTTCTGACATCGACGGTCTCCACTCCGACCTTATTCTATTTACTTTGGTGCAGGAATGCCTCCATTCCATGTACTCCTTGAACCAAGAGAGTAGGGGTTCACTTATACCAGCTGACATGATCTTGTGAAGCAGCACTGTGAGTGAGACACTGTCAAATGCTTTGGCTAGGTTGAGAAAAACAACATGTGCTGGTTATCTGTTGTCCCAGCTTAGTATCCGGTCTTCTCAGGCGGTTAGTAAGTTGAGCAGTATGCACAGTGTTTTCCCTATTGAGGAATCCTCAGACAGTGTCAGTTACCAGGCTTTCCAAAACTTTCGACACAATAGGGAGTAGGGGAGTTGGCCTGTAGCTGCCAGGGCTTCTTCTGTCTCCTCCTTTGAAGGTGGGTGACAAGATGGCACTCTTCCATTCGTTAGGGAGTTTGTATGACTCTGTTGGGTGCTCAAAGAGGTTGCAGAGCGGTTTTGTAAGCACCTCAGCGCAGTTTTTTAGGATCACCGGTTTCGGGTTATTGCAGCCAGGGGACTTGCCTGGACGTAGGTTAGATAGTTTCTCGAACATCTTTTTCTCTGTGGTTGAGATGTGACAAAGGTATTCCTTATATATGACCTGGTCAGTGTCGTGACGAGTCAGTGTGGATTTAGTGTCGGTGCTAAGCTGGGCTTGGAAGTGTGAGCTCAAGAGCTCGGTAATCCGCAGACTGCCTAGTGCACTCCCGTCACGACCTGTGACAAGATTCACGCCCTTACTGGTCGACTTCCTTCTCGACATGAAGTGGTGCAGGTTTTTGGGACTGCTTTGTAACCTCTGCGCCAGGTTTGTTTGATAGGAGAATCTGTCACTACCCACCCCAACTTTAAGGTGGTTGCGAATCCTTTTGTAGTTCAAAAGGCCAGACTTCCTGCTGATGAACGCCACTTGAAGCAAGCCTGCTTCTTGCTCTGGAAAAGCCTCCTTGTCCCGTGCTTTGGACATGAGGTTCCTGCTGACAGTCTGTATGTTACCTCCGGTACACTGTGACTGACAGCCCCGGGGATTATTTTATTTACCTACCGGCCATGATACATTCATGAGACAGTCACTGGTGGTATCGTAGCTGGGTTTGCTGTGGCAACGGAAGGTGTTGGGCGTCTCCAGTTGCATAGCCTCCCTAGTAATCAAAGAGAAGTTTTTACTGCGTGCTCACTGAGGCCAAGAAGATGTTGGATGCATACATCCTCAATGAGAAGTTCGTCGTTTGTCAGAACGTAGTCAAGGCATGATGCGTTTCCGTTAGTTCCCCAGCGTGTGGCACCACCCACTCTGAGGGGCCAGCAGTCTTAATTGCATTTTTCAGCTTGTGACTGAAGGATCTGGTGCGTCTCCCTTCTGTCTCGAAGAGGATGGACGGGGCGTTGAAGTCACCGGCGGTGATTACGGAATCGTAACCTGCAGAGAAAGTCGTTAAGATTACCTTGATGACCATTTCCTTATGTGTAAGGGAGCTGGTTGGGGACCAAAATATGACTCCTGGCAGGCACTTGGTACAGTGGAGAGTGAAGTATCACCGTAGAGATTCTGGGAGCTGGGTCAAAGCGGTATTGCTAACCACCCTTGCCTTTAAACGGAAGCTTACATAGAGAGCCGCTTCGCCTCCTGCTCTGAGCCCGCTGTCCCTGCGGAAGGGTTCCATGCCAGTAACATGCATCTCTTCGTCGGAGATGTCCAGTGAAGAGCCACAATTAGGTGATAAATATGTTGTCAGAGTGCTGACGCTCACGCAACGTCTTCATTTCTTCTACTTTCCCTCTTAGCCCCTCAGCGTTGTTGTACATACATGTTACGGTAAGCCCGGTGAGAGGGGAGGGCTGGTTGCGTATTTTCGTGACACGAGCGCTTACGTGGTCGGGTCTAGCGTCTCCGGTCCTCACAGGACTAGCATGGTTCCGTTTTTTGCCTTTTATTGTCAATTTGGGTGGGGGCTTTGGTAGTGGAAGCTTCTTTACTCGATGTATCTGACTCACTGGTCAGTGCCTGTGTGACAACCACTGACCCTAGAGGTCTTGGTGGTTTCCGTCTCTCCTCTTGCCTTGTGAGTCTGGGCTTACTTCCACACGTGTACTGAGCCACCCATGAGAGCTTTCGCATTATACCATGCGTTTTGAACTGCGAGGAAGGCATATGAGTCGAATCGAATGGCGAGCAGTCTGGGGTGAGCTGGCCTCAGCAGTCTACTGATGCTGTTGGCCGATGTGCTGTCAGGGCTGACTTTGGTTGAGAGCCATTGCTATTGTTGACGTCGTGGAGGTATCGATCTTTGCCCCAGTGGTCACTTGGCAGTTCTGGGATCCCATGTACAACTATCGTGTTGTTTCTGTTTGGATTTCCAACCGCTGATTTTCCCTCCCCCTCTCTTATCGACCATGGCTTGTCACGCCTGGCCAGAATTTTGCGGCCATTAGTAACGTCCGGTTGTCGCGAGGGAAGGAGGGTGTCTTCGGTCTCTTTGGCAGTGCTCAACGGAACATGTAAGAGGGGTTGGCTTGTCTCGGGGTGCCCGGCTTACAAGAGAAGGGAGATACAGTGTTACAGGGAGAGCAGGCAGCTTCAGCGTTTGACAGTAATCGGTCCACATTCAACTGCCAAACCGTTCCCTCTGGAACAACAGGGGGTCTGTTGACACGTCGACGTTGAGCAAGATGACCGAGTTAGCCCTCCCATGACCTGGGTTCGTTGTGGGCGGCACGCCCGACTTCCCAATGGGTTTGATATGTATTTCTACTGGTTGTTTCTCGGTCACGGTGTGTGGGATGCCCGAGGTGGGTTTCGCGGAGAGTCTATGGGTCGGTGTCTTTAGGCATGCGCTTGACGTTGTCTGGCGCCTAGTAGGGGGTACGGAGACTCTACCTAATGCGGTCCTCGCACTTGACTGCGTGCCCGCAGCCGGAGCTCTAGTTCCGTTTCCAGGTCCCTCTGTGTTATCCTTTAGTGTTAACTCTACTGTATTCGAGGATATTGGTAGCTTTTACGTGGCGGCGAGCATCCCTTTCAGGCTTTCTGTGCGGACTACGGGCAGCTTCCTGCACTATGGATTAATGTACCAGAACCATTTGCATGGTTGTCTCTTCATCAGCTTATAGTGTTGTCGGGGGACTTTGGTGTCGCAGTGGCAATGCCCCATCGGTGACACAGGTTGCATGCTAATGCCCAATCAACTACCGAAACAATTTTAGTGCAAACACTGCAGCCATTGGGTATCATAATGCGGCCTTCTTTCTATGAAGAAAGTGCTACGGATTGTGACGAACCGCTTGCGGCTGCCCTGTTCCGAAGCCTTTTACGCCGTCTCCTCTTTTCAGGCGTGCTGTGATCCTTGCCCGAGGTAGGGCTAGTTTGTGATGGGCCAGCGCTACTCTCTGTCACCTGTCTGATGGCGACTGGAATTCTAGAAACATAAGCACTTCTTTGGAAGTTCGGTGTTTGCCCCACCTCTTTGTCTATGGGTAAAGACTACAGTGTTGTTTCGGGTG